TGCCTCTCACCACATGGAAGCATTTTGAAAACATTCTGTGGGCTTCATGAAACTATTCCGGGACTCCCGCGCGACAACAGGCCTCACTTTGATGTCAGTGCTAAATGGCTGTTCCAGGGAAGCGTGCTCACTAACTCCAGCACCTTCCTTCCGCCCATCATTGTTAAACAGGGAAGCTTTCGCAAATCGCTTTTGCAAAATCCTACAGTTTCTGCACTTGGTTGCAGTTTCCAAACTCTCCCATCCAGAGGAAACTCAGGGTTTGCCTTTCCTAACTCTTGCCAGATGAAGTTGTACAACTGGACACTGCCAGTCCTGGCAGTGCTGTTAATAAGGTGTATGATATGATTATTACTAGGTTATCATCAATGAAGACAATAACAAACATTTCTGAACACCTGTTTTGTGCCAGGCACTGTGGTAAGCTCTTTAGGAACAGTATCTCATTTAAACTTAAAAACAGCCCCAGGTGTGGGTACTATTATATTCCCTATTTTGAAGATGGGAAAACTTAAAGGACAAACACAATATATTTGGGGTGACACATCTATTATGTGAAGGGACTGAAACACAGGTTTAGAGCTGTATTCTTAAACTCTTAAGTCACCTAGATTTTAAAAAAAACTTATTAAAGAATGATGTACATGCAGAAAGATGACAAGTCCTGAATGAGTATACCTAATGCATTTTCATAAAATGAACACATCCATGTAATCAACACTCAGGTCAACAAAATACTACCAGCATCCTAGAAGCCTCCTCTTGCACCTCTTAGCCATTAGTCACCCACTCTGCATAGGAAACTCTTATGACTTTCCATATATATATTAATTTTGCCATTTTTTTAGCTTTAAAGGAACTAATATAGTATGTTTCTTTTGGGCTTTTTTTTTTTTTTTTTTTTTTGAGATGGAGTGTCACTGTCACCCAGCCTGGAGTGCAGTGGCACAATCTGGCTCACTGCAATTTCTGCCTCCTAAGTTCAAGTGATTCTCCTGCCTCAGCCTCTCAAGTAGCTGGGATTACAGACAATCATCACCACGCCTGGCTAATTTTTGTATGTTTAGTAGAGACAGGATTTCACCATGTTAGTCAGGCTGGTCTCAAACTCCTGATGTCAGGTGATCCACCTGGCCTTGGCCTCCCAAAATACTGGGATTACAGGTGTGAGCCACTGTGTCTGGCCTGGACTTAACTTTTTTTGCCCTATATTATACCTGTGAGATTACCTGTGATATTATATGTAGCAGCAGTTCATTTTTAATTGCTGTATAGTATTCCATTGCATCACTGTATTAGTTCCTTCTCACACTGATATAAAGATACTACTCAAGACTGAGTAATTTACAAAGGAAAGAGGTTTACTTGACTCACAGTTCTGCATGGCTGGGGAGGCCTCACAAAACTTAAAATCATGGCAGAAGGAGAAGCAGCCATGTCTTACATGGGGCAGGCAAGAGAGATAGTGTGCGACTGCAAGAAAAATTACCATTTATAAAACCATCAGACCTCATGAGAATTCACTCACTATCACAAGAACAGCACGGAAGAAACCACCCCCCATTATCCAATCATTTCCCTTCCTCAACATGTGCGGATTACAAGTCCCTTCCTTGACACGTGGGGATCCCAATTCGAGATGAGATTTGTGGGGAGCACACAGCCAAACCGTATCCATGACCATACCACAATTTATACTGTTGTTAATAGGCAGAAGTTACTTGCAACCTGGGGCTACTATAAATAATGCTGCTAGAAACATTTTTGTACATACATACTGATAACACACACATAAATACATTTCTGCTGGCCCACACCTAGGAATGGAACTACTGGGTATGTTCAGCTTTAATAGATACTGCCAAGTTCTATCCATGCTGTTATGAATTAACAAACGTCTTGAGGGGTATAATGGACTGAACTGTGTGTCCCCAAATTCATATGTTGCAGCTCTAGCCCCCAGTGTGATCTCATTTGTAGACAAGGCATTTAAGGGGGTAATTAAGGTTGAAGTCATAAGAGGGGGACCCTGATCCACCAGGACTGGCATCCTAAGAAGAGGAAATACCTGAGCTCAATAACACTCTCCCTTATTATGTACCAAGGAAAGGCCACGTGAGGCTGCAGCGAGGTGGCCATCAGCAGCCAGGAAAAGAGGCCCACTAGACCCACCCTGTGGACATCTTTTGTCTTGGACTTTGAGCCTCTTGAAATGTGAGAAAATACATCTCTATCATTTAAACCCACCCCATCAGTGATATCCTATTTTATCGGCCTGAGCAGGCAAATCCAGAAGAAAAGTGGTGAAGAAGCTGAGCTCACTTCAATGCATTTCCTATTTGAGACCTTGGCCTCTCTGGTCCTGGCATCTGGGCAACTTTGTGCCCACAGTCTTGTCTCCCCAGCCCTTTGATTCTGTCAAAGCTCATGTCAGGGTCACAGCCTCTTAGTGGCTTTGGTATGGCTTTTTAGCCTCATCCTATGCCACTTCCAGCCTGGCAAAAGCCTGGAGGAAAAAAAGTGCTTTGCAGTGAGGGTGGTCTGTAAAAAGTTACTCTATCATTACTGGAAATGGAAATCTAATTATTTATAAACAATTAAATATTTAAATAAAGTTTAAATAAACGTTAAATAAAAAATAACTTTTTAAAAGTTTTTTTTTTTTTTTTTTTGAGACAGAGTTTCGCTGTTGTTACCCAGACTAGAGTGCAATGGTGTGATCTCAGCTCACCGCAACCTCCGCCTCCTGGGTTCAAGCAATTCTCCTGCCTCAGCCTCCTGAGTAGCTGGGACTACAGGCACACACCACCATGCCCAGCTAATTTTTGTATTTTTAGTAGAGACGGGGTTTCACCATGTTGACCAGGATGGTCTCGATCTCGACCTCGTGATCCACCCGCCTCGGCCTCCCAAAGTGCTGGGATTACAGGCATGAGCCACTGCGCCCGGCCCTAAAAGTTATTTTTAAGTTACTTGTTTTTAACTTACAAACAACTTAAAAACATAGGGACTAGTTTACCAAATCTGGCTGCCTTTTTTTTTCCCTAGAGATGATCTCAAACTCCTAGGCTCAAGTGATCCTCCTGACTCAGCCTCCTGAGTGGCTGGAATTACAGGTGCCTGCTGCTATGCCTGGTGTCTGGCTGCTTTTCATTAAAGTATTTCTCAGAGTCAAATAGCTATTCAAATGTTCTATTTGCTAACTTTTGGAGATTATCAATCTGATAGATTTTTTTCCCTTGAAGGATGTCTCAGTTTGAAAACCCATACTTTCTAGATCTTGTAAACTTAGAGAACTTAGAATTTCCTAGACACTTAGAAAGGCGACTCCCCTCAAAATGATTAGACTGGCTTGGAATGGTTTCCTAAGAAGGATGTTTATTTATAAGAGATACAACCATTCAAGGGCATCTGAATTTTTAAAAAATGACCACTTTTTGTGACTAAAAAGTATAATCCCAGATAAAACCAGAACAAAGCTGTGTATGTGAGAATGCCTGGTCCCGAGGCCCTTGCTGTCCCCCTTGTTAGCAGTGAGGCTCTGGGGAGTCACGTAGCTACATAGTGCGTCTGTTTCTTCACGCTATAAAGGGCATAATCATGCTTGTGATGTGTTTCCAAATCTCCAGAGCACTGTTGGCTGCTTTGCCCTCGGCATTCCCTCAGCACTGAGTGCAGAGCAGTGCTCCATGACCAGACCACACATCTTGGCCTCCTCCAATGGCCTATGACCTCAGTCAGGCAGAGGCCCTGTCCTGTTCTTTTATCCTTAGTCCAGTGTCTTGAACGTGGCAGGTACTGAATGACAAACAATGAGTCCTCGTGCCAGCACTCAGCACACTGCCAGACTCTTCCAGCCTGACTGTCTGAGTGTTCACTGAAATGGTGTGCCACATACTGCAGGGCAACTGCATCTTTGATAGATTTGGGAAGTGGATTTGCTATATGATGTGAGATAAACAGGATCACCCTAGAAAACACCTTAAACAGCCCACAAAGTACAGTACGATCATATCATCAATCCAGTACAGCAATCCTTATGCACCATCAATGTTGAGAACTATAAGCTAGGTTAAGAAAAGAAACTGGCATAGCAAAGATCTTGGCATTCAAACTTTTTGAAATACATACTGAGGCCAGGCGCAGTGGCTCACATCTATAATCTCTGCACTTTGGGAGGCCGATGCGGGCGGAACACTTGAGCCCAGGAGTCCAGGACCAGCCTGAGCAACACATGAAACTCTGTCTCTATCAAAAATACAAAAATTAGCTGGGTGTGTTGGCATACGCCTATAGTTCCAAGGACTCAGGAGTCTGAGGTGGGAGGACAGCCTGAGCCTGGGAGGTTGAGGTTGCTGTGAGCCATGATCTTGCCACTGCACTCCAGCCTGGGTGACAGAGTGAGACCCTGTTTCAAAAGAAAAAAGAATACCTAATGAGTCGTTGCCATGAGGGCTGAGGAAGGCCTGCTCACTTGCAGTGTCCTTCATTCTGCTTTCACTGTGATGCCTCTATGACTGTTACACCTACCTATGTTAGAGATTTTTTATTGGGAAGAAAAAGCAGTGAGGTTGAGTTCTCAAGTTAATGACTAGTCTGGGTCCCTGGAACATCCCCTTTTTTGAAACCCAGTACACATTGGCTTGGGATGCTTAAAGGCTTTGAAAAAGTCCAGTGGAATGTTTAACTTGATTACCCTCAATTTCTCAACCTTAGCTTGACACAGGAGCTTGATTCTTGTTGGCATATAGTACCTATTAATAGTCTGTGGAACATCTTCAGTGTGACATGCTGGGAATGAAGCCTTAGGCCATTACTCAAAGTGTTTCTGACTCTGATTTTACAAACAATCCTTAACACACATATTTATCTGGCTTTACGGCGGCAGTTGAGAACAAATTAGAAATGAGTAAGGAAGCCTGTCAGATTAAAAAGAAAATGGACAGCTAGCATGCTGGCAGGCATGGAATGGGACGGAGCATGACAAAGCAGCCACAGAGTTAGATGCAGATATTTAATGAATAGTATTGCATGGTATGATCATGGAGGTTCAAAATAATAACAATTGAGTCCATTAGATGACATTCTTGCTTGACAAGGTAGGAACAAATTTATTGTATTTCACCGAGACTAAAATTACAAAGTCTGGTTGTGTAAAGGAAAGATTTAATTGTTGGGAAAATGTATCAGAACCAGACACCTCAACAAAAGCCAGGCTGACCAAATCAAACGGATTCTTTACATCCTCCAAGAGAATCTTGAATATTGTTAGCCAGAAGATATGGTAAATTTTACCCCAAACATTCTCTTGAAGGAGTAAGGTCTTCTAATGAGTAAATGTCAAGATACTGGTACATAAATAATAGTTTATTCATCCTTCAGGTCACATCCATCTGTGAATCAAGCAGCCTGGCAGTCCGCGTGGTCAAGGTTGTTTAGCCAGTCTTGTAGTACATAAAAAGTCTCTCCATTTTCTTTTTTGTTTTAGAGAGAGAATATGCAAAGGAATTATTTACAGGAGGAGAAGTAGTCCTCAATCTCTTCTGCTTTCCACTGTATTAGATGTATCGCTTGTTCTCTTTAATAATCATTTTTTCCATCCTCATTCATTGTACTTGGACAGTTTTAACCTGGGGATAATGTTCATGGACTGTAGTTCCTGGAAGAGCAGCTTGCAGGCATACGGAATACGGAGGGAAGACACTTGGCGGGATGACTTGCAGAAATGGCACCTGAAACCCAAGTCAGCACATGTTACACAGACGGCAACTCGGCAACAAAGGCCTCCACGCAGGAAGTGAGAATGGGCTCTATAAAGTTCTAATATCATTCTATCAAATTATCTTTCTATTCCTAAGTTTTCAGTTGCACTATCAAATAAGTACATGTGTGCCCAGAAAATAAAAAGAAATATCCAAGGAAGCAAAAGAAAAAATGAAAGAAACACCACTCCCTCCAGTGTTTAAAGCATACAACTTGTGTTGGTTGTTACTACACGTCTAGACCTTTCTCCTTAAAATGTAAAACATCTGCCTATACACTTGTTTTGAAAGAGCCCCAGAAATCTGAACCATTGAAAAATTTACTCAGACTTAAATTTTTTCATTGTAAAATTTTTTCATTGTTAAAACCAATTCAATCAATCTTCATGTATCTAATAAGCATCTACTATACTAGCAGTATATTATTCTGGGCAAGATGCCCAACAATTATAATTTGGTTTCCGTCATTGAGATATACAAAGTCTGACAGAAAAGATAAGACTTTTGAATAGGACAGTGGTGTTCAATTAAATTAGGAAATTTTTCTGCTTATTAGGAAATTTTTCTAGTGCTCTTCAGGTCTGGTTATTTCTATGAGTGTTGAGAGGTCCTATACTGACAACATGTTGTTCCTTGTGCAACACTAAGAAATGTGTGTATGCGCAGCATGTGCAAATATATTCCCACGTAACCCTAACAACAACAGCCCATGTTCCTAACCAATTTGCCTGCTATTCCAATTAGGACTTTATTTTCTCTTCCTTACAGAACTTCTGGTAAACTCAACTTAGGTCTTAATCAATGGCTACAACTGTAGAAGGGCCCATGGGGAGAAAGTGAATTATTCTTTCAGGTTTCAGACCAAAATAGGACCTTACTCTACTCATCAAGGGTCTGCAGCAACTAGGACAGTAGGTATCCAGCACATATCCTGACACTTAACAGATAGAAAACTAGATCCTCACAATTAATGAGGAGGAAAATTGTGGTGGGGAAACCCTGCAAGTGCTGTGGCAAGGGTCTGAAGCCTCAGCCTGTTCCCATATAAATACTGATTTAGAAAAGAATTAGAAATGTAGGCACATAGTTATTCCTTTATATAATCATATAAAATCTTATAGTTACCTATAATCATAAAGATATATACTCAATATAACCTTTAATTTTACTAATGACTACTGCGTTATGAAGCATGAAACTCAGGTGACATTGTGAACAAAGTGATCCTAAGGCAAGATGCTCTAAGCCCTCTGTCACGATCACATAAGGGCTGCTGGAGGGCGCCTTGGCTGTGCGGTATCGCCAGCGCAGTGAAAGCACCTGCTGTTTAGCCAATTAGGGAAGGAGATTTCCAAAATGGCTGAGACATCTCCTTCCTGGAGAAGTTAGGAGAAAACTCCATTTCTCCAAGCCCTTGTGGCAAGGCCTGATGGCTGTCAGGGAAGCTTGCAGATATCCAGGGGCTTAACTGTCTCTATGTGATGCTAGGCTTCAGTGGTCACGTTCCATGTCTACTCTCATGTTCTGCTTCTGCAACTGGTTTCTCTTTTTCTGAGAGGATAAGAATTAATGTCCTTGACATTTCTGACAAATATGCGAAGAGTGCTGATGCATTAGGTTTTCTCCTCGCCTTGGCAACTTGAAAGTATTGGGACCCCTACTGTCAAGACACATGATTTATCTGACCATATTACCAACCACCATTACCTCACCCTACCTTCCCTGCCCCCTGCTTTGTACTCAATAAAAGTCAGAGTATCCAGGTACTCGGTGCCACTGCAGGTCTCCATGCTTTGGCTGGCAGTGGACCCCTGAGCCCAAACTCTCTTTTCTCTATCTCTGTGTCTGTGTCTTTTATTTCTACAGTTTCTCATCTCCGCACCAACAGGGAGGGGCTCACAGAATCCTATTGGGCTGGATCCTATAGAAAATGAGTGCAAGAAGAATAGCAACCGAGGCTTGGAAGATCTGGTGATGACCAGGAATTAGAGGGGGATTACTTAGTGAACGAAGGATTGGCCATTCTGGAGGGCAGCAAGACAGTGTGTGTAAAAAAAGGAAATGTACATATTCTTTGATTCTGTAATCCCAAAAGTAGTAAAGGTGTGTGCACAAGAATGTTGACAGCCACACTATTTATAACAGCATAAGGTGAGGCTATGCAAATGTCCCCTGGGACATTTACATAGAAGAAGACTGTGACACCATTAGAACTGACTGATGTTGTCGACTCACGTTTACTGAAATGTCCAGGGCAAACTGGGAAGTGAAAAAAAGCAGTTTGTTAATCAGCATGGTCCCAAGGGGGCCCTCGAATAGCTTTTGTAAGTGTATGGAGCCCCCAAAATCATATGTAAATTTTAAAATTTTTGGTGTGTATATTTGTAATTTTCTGCTCTTATCAGAATCTTGAAAGAGTCACCAAAATGTTAATAGTGGTCATCTCTGGGTGGTAGGAATTAAGGTGACTCACTTTATATTTGTGGTAACTTTTGATGTACAATGAGCAGGGATCATTTTTGCAATCAGTAAAATAAAGCTTGTATTATTTTAGAAAAGAAAAGCAAGCACTGAGGCTGAGAATGTGCAAGTGGTGGTGGTAACCATGCAGACAGAGATTCCTGAGGAGGAGAATGGGAGACTAACCCTCACAAATGCACAACTGAGGCCATGATAAGGGGACACCGGGCACTTCAACACTGCAAATATAAACTTGGTGAGTTACTTTTCTTAAAAGATTATCTAAAGACCTCTTTAATGCATTTGAGTTTAAAATTATGTTTTTAACTCAATTTATCTACAAATCATGTTCATGCTTTCGTTAAATTGGGGAAATGGATTTAGCGGGGGTAACTTTTTGCTTATTCTCCTGACTAGTACATACTCAATGACACCAATCCAACCTAATCTATATTAAATTTCCATATGTACAGAATCATATTCCAGAAAGCCTTTTAATCTTCTCTATTATTAAATATTTCTCCATCATTTAAAATGTTCCTCTGTGTGTGTGTGTGTGTGTGTGTGTGTGTGTATAAAACCACACCTTATCTTGTATCTGAACAATTTGCAAAGGTAGACCCTTGACCTGAACAACAATAAAATGAACTGATTTTTTTAGGGCAAAGGTAGCAAAAAGGGGAGGCTGTGGCTTCACACGAGAAATGACTGTCCAGTGAAACATCCTCTGTGAGCTAATTATCTTAATAGGGATTTTCTTTTTCCTGAAGTCTTCCTTCTGGACCTCTTTTTATGACTTATGCCCTTAGTGTCTTCTGTAGAACAACAGTCGTGCTGTAAACATCCCCATAGCAATGCCTCACTAATGTGCAAATCCCTGACAAAAGGCCAGTTTCAAGGTTCCAAACTGCTCTAATTACCCAGCCTCCATTGTGCCGCTCATTAAAGAGTGACTTCCTCCAACGACACCCATGCTCCCTCCCACTCAACCCAGCACACATGATCAGGTAATGATGGGAAAAATGACAGCATCATTATACTCCTCGGCCAGAAAGCAGCACCCGAGGAGGCGGCTAGACTACTCTACTAGAATGAATTAGGATTTTTTTCTGTTGGCAACGAGGGTATAAGTAGGTCACTTAAAATCAGACATACGGTATATACTGAGATCTGCTTAATTACAGTAAAGACCCTCAAACCGTATAACCTGATTTATCCTCTTTCAAAGGATTTCAAATACAATACACATACGCTTCAAAATCAGACACTGCCATCAGATGATCTCTAAATGAGACAGAAATGAAGCAGGAAAGAAGATATAAATTTAGCAGAATAGTGGTGAGGGATCAATCGCAGCTTAGAGGTCTTCTTGCTTACATTACCTTCCCTGAGTAACCAGTGCTGGAGAGGGACGAGTTTTCAAAGTGCATAAGTGAATTGGGTTGACTGTTTTCTTTTTCTTTGGAGGTGGGGAGAGGGAGGATGAATGCAAGGGGGAGGAAGAGAAAAGGAAACTCTTTTTGAAGGCCCACAACCTCTATTTTTAATGACATGATTCTTCTCTACCATTCTTTCAAAGCAAATTATTCAAAAGTCCTTGTGTCAAATTTGAAGATTTAAGCATAGTGGAACTAGGATCCAGGCATCTTCCTATTACATGATTTATTTTCTTTTTGGTTGCACAGCCCAGACTATAAAAAGCAAGTTCAACATGCATTTCAAAAGACAAACAGACATCTCAGGACGGAAGCAAACCCCCATCTCATTCCTATAAGAAAGAGCTAGGCTTATTCTTGGAATCATGTCACCCGTTGTCTGCAACATTATGGAAGATGAACTGCAAATGGCCACCTCTTCTGTCAGTTTTTAAAATGAAATGATTTCTTCACAGACAAAGAGTCTTCTACACCAAAATCATGAAATAACTGGCTAAAAGGTTTTGACATTTATCTGGCAAGGTATACAGTGTGTTCTAAGAAGCTCATTTGTTCAACTTGTGATTGGCTTTTTTCAACTTAGAAATTAGTAGTTCAGAATGACAAGAAGTTGAGACTCTGTCTGGAAGGAGACTTTACAGTGGGGACTCAATGGGGAAAAGGTGGCCCACATATTCCTCAAACCCCAGCAAATGAATGCTATTTGGACCTAACTATATCTTGGGGATGACCCCTCTCTACAGAAAAGGCACTCTGGGGAGGGCAGGTGAGGGCGATGGGGGCATTGAGGCTGTTTGGCAGCTCTATGCCTTCTGCCTTAGATCTTGTTGGACCTTGCCTCTGATTGAAAAGTAAAGAACTCACTTTTAGATGGGCATGGTGGCTCATGCCTGTAATCCCAGCACTTTGGGAGAGATCACTTGAGCCCAGCAGTTTGAAACAAGCCTGGGCAACATGGTGAAACCCTGCCTCTATAAAACATACAAAAGTTAGCCAGGTGTGGTGGTGTGAGCCTGTAGTCTCAGGTACTCGGGGGACTGATGTGGGAGAATCACATGAGCCTGGGAGATTGAGGCTGCAGTGATCCGAGATTGCACTACTGCACTCCAGCCTGGGCAACAGAGTGAGACCCTGTCTTCAAACAAACAAAAAAATAAAATGCAGAGTATCATTCATCCAGTACTTTTTGATGAAGCATATACCAGGTCCCAGTCTGGAGAAATGAGGGTAAACATGACAGAATGCAATGACAATGAACTAGAAGATAAGCTCCTTGGGAGCAGCCATCACCTGTCTCGTTCACTGCTGCATTTCTGGGGCCTAGAACAGTGTGTAGCACTTAGCAGACACCTACTAAATGTTTGCTGAATAAATTAATGAGACAGACCCAGCTTCTGCCCTGACAGAATCTACAGTACAAGTGTGAAGGAGCTTGCCACGGCAGAGAGTATAGACAGGGGCAGGGTACCAGATCTTGGTCTTGGCACCAATTTGCTATGAGAGCTGGGGAAGCATCCCTGGCTCTTTGGGTCTGAAGTTGCAAATGAAAGCACTTGACATAATCTTCTTTAAAGAGGTTCTTTAACACACTGTTATTCTAACATCCACAATACATCTGCTAGGACTTTCACAGGTAAACAGTGTTGTAAAAAGTACCTGAGATAATACTTAAAAGAAGATAAAGTTTATACTCCTTGGGAGCTTAGCCTCTGGTTGTGTAGGAAGTAGATCATCATATAGACTAATGATACATGCGCATAGAGTATCCCCAATGACAGGAATACACGCATGAGAAAGGGTATGTTAGTGATCACTGACAGAGACTAGAGAACATGCCAGTAGGATCCACGGTCATTTCTTAAGCTATGATTTAAGAGGCAAGGAGTGTGGTATGGGAGACATATGGTATTCACTTACCAGCCAGAATACCCGAGAAGGCCACACTTCCCACAGACATCAACCTCAAAGGCATCACTTGAAATCATTAGTCTCTCTAGCAAAAGCATACTGGCTCCATAACCGATTAAACAGTCACGTTCCATTTCCCCAAGACGCAAGCCACCATCACGAGACCGTCCTTCAGTGGGTTGCCTTTGAAACAAGTTATTAGACAAATGTGTTCTTATTCTATTAAACAAACAATGAGGCAGCATCACATCCTGGCAGAGAACACGAGGCTTTGGAGCAGGGCTCGCCTGGATCCAAATCACTAACTGGACAGTGACTTTGAACATGCGGCTCAGCCTCGTTGTAAAAGTGCATAAGCATACCTATCCCAAAGAGCCTCAACTGAGAAAAGATGTATTATTGATGGTTCTTATGGTTAAATGAAATTAATATATAATTACATAATATCATATGATGTAATAACATGTTAATATATAATCACAGAAAACACCAGTGCTAGCATTACTATTACCATCACTATCATTATTATTAGGATAGCAGAGTTTTCAAATCAGGGAACAAGTTCTTTGAGTATTTTCAAAGATGTCTCAGTATTCTATTATTTAAAAGCAGAAAAACTAAGCAGAACAGACTGTGGGAGAAATCTGGATCCTCCAGTAGTTTCAGCCAGAGCTGTTAGCCCCTTGAATGGATTCCCTGTGGTTTATGTATATGCTGGGCTTGAGAATACTTTAAAAGGCTCAGAATCCAGGACCTAATGCAGGTAAAATTAGGGGTTCTCAACAATTGAGGCAATGCTATGTAGGTATGGATCATACAAATTATTGGGGGAGGGGGAAGCAAGCTCCCTGGCAGGCTTCTTAAAGGTAATCTTTGAGCAGGGGTGACCATGCACCCGTTGTCTGCTGTATTCCATGGCATCTTTTAATCTTTGTTGTTGCTGCCAGTCTCCCCAAGAATTAAGAAGGTGAACACAGGGTATGCCAACACATACTGAAATTTTAAGATTTTTAAAAATTGTGGTTGAAAGTTTCAATGTGAGATCAAAGAAGTTGTAGATTACTTGTTGAAGGGAAATCTACACATGAAGAACTTACAAACAGGTCTAAATAAACACATTATAGTGGAAACTTCATAACTGAGCACATCTATACATTTTTACCTGTAGTAGAAAAACACATGGGTAGTTGCTCCCTGCACCTGAGGTCACTGAACAAGGTAAAGGTAGACAGACCATATGTAGACAGAATCCAATACTTGGATTTTAGCCAACTGAGATAACTGACTACAGACAAATGCATTCAAGGCAGTCTTCATATGGCAGACACAAAAGTAATACCAAAGTAATAACTTTTTCTACACAACAAAGCAAAATATAGGAAATAACTGCTTTGACATTTATGTTACTCTCAAATAGTTTTTGGATGTTGTAACTGAAATGGAAGTTTAGAGGAGACAGCATTTAGGGGAGAAACACATCTGACCCAATTAGGGTCTCACTGCTGAGGTGATTATTATCTTGAGAATCTCCTCTCTTCTCTCTTTGCAATTTTAAGCACACATATGTCTATCATTTCAGTAGACATGTGCATGTGCTCAGTTTGAAATGGTCAAGGAATTGAGTCATCTACATCTCTTCCTTGGCTTACAAAAAAAAACAACCAAGCATGAACTGCTTCATCCTTGCCCCTCTCCTCACTGTTACATCCAGGCAGTGCTCAGTGAAAGTGGGAAGGGAACCAGATGCTTGCTGTGTATCACCCGTGAATAGGTACTGCACACATTCTGTATTCACACTCTTGACACTCACCAGCACCTGTAAAGTAGGTACTGTTGTCTCCATTTTAAATATGAGAAATGCTGAAGCTGAGCGTTTCATCAAGCTGTGGTCATCAGTGATCCGTCCAAGGCTTGTGACAGTATGAACAGGTGGAGATGAGATCACAGCCTTGTCCATCTGACTCCAAGCCCTTGGTTCCCTCCCCTAGCCCATGGTTCCTCAACCTCGGCACAACTGACATACTGAGCTGAGTAACTCTCTCTTGTGGGGAGTTGTCCCTGCAGCATCCCTGGCCTCTACCTACTAGATGCCAGTAGCTACTTCCCCAAGTCCAAGTTGGGACATCTGAAAATGTTTCCAGATGTTGTTACATGTCCCTGGGAGGCAAAATCATCCCTGGCTAAGAACCACTGCCCTAGACTATGCATCTCCAACTGGAAAGTAGCACTAAGAACATGTGAAACTTAGTAGCTCTAATTCTCTTTCCCAACAAATTTATCCATTCATTAACACACAGACATTGCGCTTGAAATTGTGGGTATACTTGTGAATGGGGCACACATGGCCGCTCATCTTCTCGAGCTTATTCAAATAAGTATGCAAGTGGAGATGCCTTGTGCTCCAATAACAGTTTTAAAAAACTACATGTGTGGTTTATGCTACCAAATAATGTATGCATGTGTCTTCTGTGTACACATGGGTACATGCAGGCATATCATGTGTGTGGGTATATATGTACACATCTTCTTATATGAACCTTGATGAACAGGACCATATTTGCAGACATTTACACAGTAAATAGTTGTGTTAGGAGTTCATTGGCAAGACATATGGTGGGTTTGCTCTTGTGCTTGTGAAATAATTTTTTAATTGGCTGCTACTTTTTCTTACTAATCATACATATATGATTTTCTTAACGCCAAACTTGTCAAATTTTGACATTTCAAGAAAACAGAAACTTTGTTGAGTCTGTTTTTTGCCATATCTGGAAAATACAAGGTAGACTTGAATGTATCATCAATTCTTTTTGTAAGTACTTTTCTCTTACCTGGTAAGGACAGCTCGTGGGCCCCGGGCTCGGGCATGCATTTTATCCAGTACCATGTGTTTCAGCTTCTGATAGTACACAGGGCCGAAATAGATATATGCTTCTAAGGGCTCTCTGAAAGAAAGACAAGCATTGTGGGTTAAGAAACTAAGTCTGGCCTAGCAAGAGACGGCCTTTGGACCCAACACTGGCAGGTTCTTACTCATTTATGACTGATTGGATAAGAATGATTTTCAGTCTATAGTGAATGAAAAGACTAGTTCTGAAAAGATGAAAAGTATGATAGCTATTTCAAAGATAAATGGTTTTACAAAGAAATAGACATTTAAACAGGTTGGGAAACAGTGTGTATAGGATGATCCCTTCAGGGTGACCTCCCTGGTCAGGCTACCATCCTTTCCTGCCTGGGCTACCAGAAATAATCTTCTAATTCATCTCCCTGCTTCAATTCTCATCCCTCAACAATCTATTCTTTGTGTAACAAGCCAGGGGGACTCTTTCTAAAATGTAAATCACAATAGGTCATTCTTCTGAACTCACGAATGGCTTCCCATCATACTCAGAATCTGTATTACTAAAATTCTGTATTATGACCATATGGTGAGACATAATCCAGTTCCTGCATACCTCACTGTTTCCTATTCCCATGTCCCTCAACTCACTCGACTCCAGCACAACTGGCCTCTTCTTTACTCCTCACATGTAGCAAGCTTGTTCCTCTCTTGGGGCCTCTGACTTACCATTTCTTTTGCTTGAAACACTCTCCCACCAGGTGCTTAGATGGCTCTGTCAAACATCTCACCTGCACAAAGAGACTTTCCCTGAACACTGCATCTAAAAAAGTTCTCCTCCCATCTGGCATCGCCACTCCTGCACTGTCTCAAACTGACCCTTTGGCGCACTTGCTCCTTTTGATACCGCAGTGTATATTTACTGTCTCTCTGATTATTGTCTGTCTTCTCCACAAGAAGGAACTCTGCAAAGGTAAGCACTTTGTCTCCTTTGTCACTATGGCTCCAGCACCTGTGACCCTGCCTGGCACACAAGTGGTGCTCAATAAATGTCTATTACATAACTGATTTAATAAATCTTTAGAAAAACTGTAGTAAGAGTTTAAAAAGAGAGTGAACACATACGTACTTTGGCAGAAGAAACCTTTTTCTCATTAGTCTGGAGCAAGAACAACCAGAGCACTGATGCCCTAAAATTTTTGTAACTGCCTCAAACTTTCTTCTTCAAAGGGAAGGAAGAATCTACCATGTGCTACTTAATCCATACAATGATCTGGGGAGGAAGAACTGTCACCCCTATTTTGCAGATGAAGACATGGGCACTGAGAGCCCGAAAGGTCAGATAAGAGCTGGTGAGTGGTACAGTGGGGGTTCAAATCTAGGGCTCTCCCTGCAACACTGGTCAGATTTCAAACAAGTAAATTCTGGGCTATGGCATGATGGAAGAGTAGAAAAAGCAAAGGAAACAACAAACATAGCAGAGAGGCAAAGACAAAGCTTGGCTCCTGCTTGCTCGGTGTCCCTGATCACACTCTCAGCAATGTGAGCCAAGGCTTTTTCAGTCACCAGGCCATTCTGCTGACTTCAGCACAACCCCATTCGTGGAAGACACAGAGTGGAGTAGAAGGCACAATGGGGAGGGTATCGAGAGACCCTGTCCTTGTCTTGATTTTGTCACATAGTAAAGTAATTATACAACCTCTCTAGCTGAGTGTTCTTAGTTGTACAAGAAGGTGGTCAGAACAAGATTCTCTCCAGTTCTAACAGTGAATGATTCTATTCCTCAATAGTAGGGTTGCTCATGGTAGAATTTATGAAACTCTGTTACCCAATGCCATTCCATCAACCACAGAGTAAAGCCATATGCAATTTTCCTTCCTACCTATGTTCAAGAATGAACTAAAGCTGAAAGCTGGTGGGTGATAACGTGTTTGCATACCCTCAGAAATTTTCAACTAAACGGTACTTCTCAAACTTTGCCACTGAAATAAATGGCAAAGAAAATAAATGGCTGAGTCGGGGGGGGGAGGCAGGAAGGCAGTGTGGACTCGGATATAGACTAACCATTATCTATGGCAAGCAGGATATAACCCATCCGATTCTTTCAGTACAAATTATGTTCATGAGGCCCACCAAATTGATCCTATGGTTTTGCACTTTCTGGTCAACATCTGGCCAAAAATGTGCCTTATTTCTGGGTAGAGAAGTGAAGAGAAGGTTAAATTTAGCAATGACAACTGTGTTTTCTGAGATGGGCACAATTATTTTGTTGAACCGTTTCTGAAATGGTCCATTACTCTTTTCCTGTAATGTGATTTTTCTACAGGATCTCAAGTGTGTGATACACCTAAGAAATCCATATTATTATAGTTTTTTATGGGCAATTTTTAAAAGCACTCCACATTTTTAACAGATATAGGTTTTAATCTTTTCAATCACATCTGGAGACTCTATTTGCAGCACTAAAATCACGCTCTGTTCTCACACATGCTTCCATGCTGAGTTTCACTAGTGTTCAAGTGGTTTAAAACCTCAGGGTGCAGTGACTCATGACTGTAATCCCAGCACTTTGGGAGGCCAAGGTGAGTGGATCATCTGAGGTCAGGAGTTTGAGACCATCCTGGCCAACATGGTGAAACCCTGTCTCTACAAAAAATACAAAAAATTAGCCGGGCGTGGTGGCACGTGCCTGTAGTCCTAACTACTTGGGAGGCTGAGACGGGAGAATTGCTTGAACCCTCTGGGAAGTGGAGGTTGCAGTGAGTTGAGATAGTGCCATTGTGCTGCAGCCTGGGCAATGAAAGCAAAGCTCCGTCTCAAACAAACAAACAAAACCCAGAAGAACACTGTAAACATTAGGTCCTGGAGTTTTATCTGGCATAAAATATCTGAGTCTTAATTTAAGCAACTAATTTGATCCTTTAAAAACCACAGTGATACCAGCTTCAGAACCTTGCCCTTCACAATCATTGCTTGTGAACAGGGATCTGTTTCTCACAGGTTAACACAAGATCCCAAGCCTGGTCACCTGACTCTTCTTCCCCTCCACCGTCACCTCAGGACACTGGCACTGCCTCTTCATTGCACCGCAGCCAGGCTGGCCTCTTCCTGTTCCCTGAACTTACCAAGCTCTTTCCCTGGCAAGGTGTTATATATGACTTTTCCTTTTCATTAAACACTGTTCGAAGGCCCTATCCTTCTCACCCTTCATCTCTCAGGTGAAATGTCATATCCACTTCCTCACAGGGGCCTTCTCACCCACTCTGTCTTCATTTTGCTGAGAGTTATTTGTACTTATATTTATTTGTCTGCATTTCTTTTTTCAAAAAATGTTTACGGAGTGCATGCTGTGTGTCAGGCCCTGTGCTATGCCCTGGAAATAGAACAGTAAACAAAACAGACCAGCCCTGCTTTCAGAGAGGTCATGTTCTAGTTGTGGAGACAGATGATAGTATTATTATGCAGTATATTTGAAAATGGTGAGTGCTATAGAGAAAATAAAGCAGGAAATGGGCAGTATGGGGCTCTAGTTTTAAAATAGATGGTCACAGTAGGCCCTATGAGAAGTTACCTTTTGTCTGTTATTGTTTAACGTCTAGCCACACGCCTAAATGGTCAGCTCCATAGGGCTGGGACCATGTCTACAACATTTATTGGTATATACTCAGTGTTTAGCACATATTAAGTAGGTGCTTAGCACATCTTTAGTGAACAAATGCTAGGCCTCAGTCTACCTCTCAAAGCATTAATTATTCTGACACTCATCACATCAATGCAGGGAAAGTTCAACAGTTAGAGAAAAACTTGGCATTATATGTAATTGGTGTGTTCCTTAAAAGTAGGTATAGGGTAGAAATCATATATTGGTAAATCAAATATTTTCTATTTTCTTTCTTTTGAGATGAGGTCTCACTATATTGCCCAAGCTAGTCTCAAACTCCTGGGCGATCCACTCGCATTGGCCTCCCAAAAATCTTTTCTACTTTCTAAATTATAATTTTACCAGTACGGACAGCATTCCTTAATCGTTAGTTTTCTAAATTTAGATTTTCATGTATTCAGTTTCTTGAAAAAAACTGAGCTTAAGGCATATAGGCCTTAATGCTTACACCTTAAGGGAGGGGTGTCCGATCTTTTGGCTTCCCTGGGACATACTGGAAGTAGAAAAGCTGAGTTGTCTTGGGCCACACGTAAAATACACTAACACCAACGATAGCTGATAAGCTAAAAAATAAAATAAAGAAAAGGAAAAAAAATCACACAAAAATAATCTTACAATGTATTAAAAAAAAGTTTACAAATTTGTGTCAGGCCGAATTCAAAGCCATCCTAGAAGAGCTGTACAAGCTTGCCTAAAGGTATACTTTATAAAGTATACCTTAAGGCCTATCCTAGTAAAACCATTGTTTTTCTTTAAAATGGCTCAATCACATGCTTACCCTGTGATGCCAGATGTAACATAGTCTTTCCCCAAGTAGTTATAACCATGACGAACGAGGTCCTCACACACATCCTTCACTCTACTGCCTCCAAACGCAGTGCCGTAGTGGAATCTGCCATCCAGCACACCAGCCTTGCCAGCCAGCAGTTCAATGAGCTTCCCCACCTGTGGGATGTGAACAAATTAAGTGAGCACCTCCCTGTGGTACAAACACTCTCTCTGCTTAATCATCTCCTGCTTATTTCCCCAAAAGGATATGAAACGACCACTATTAATAACAGTGATAAATTAGTAGCAGCAGTATTTAAGCTTGATATGTGTGATCTAATTTTATAACTCTCCATACCCCTATAAGATAAATTCTATATTTCTTCTTTTTACAGATGAAGAAACTGAAGTACAAGGAGGATAAGCAACTTATCCAGGGCCACACAGCTGGTAAGAGGTGAAGCCAGGAAAACCAAAAATAATTAATGAAGGGGGATCCATTTAGGTTCAATACAAGGAGTTCCCTTTTGCTAAGGGGCAAATTCATCACTCAGAAGCCTCTACTCTCAAAAGGAAGTATAGACATGCTCCTCATTCTTTCTGTAGAGGAGAGTAGCCCAGAATCATCAGGGGCTGGAAGTCTGTTTATCTGGCAAGGGGCAAAAGGGCTCTATCTAAAAAAACAGCTTCAGCATCCCCGTCTCCTCCACTCACTCTAATTAAACTAACTGCCTGCTTCTTCCTTAAAGGCAGCGCCTCTGAAAAACCTACAGGTAACTGACCGTCATTCGTGATGGGAAGCCGTGTGGGTTCATTATGATGTCCGGACAGATGCCAGAATCACAAAACGGCATGTCTTCCTGGGGGACGATCAAGCCACAAACACCTGGGGGAGAAAAGATTTCATGCCATGTAAAGCAAATCGGCAGAAAGAAAGAATACAGTACTTAATTGGGATCTCCCTGCTGCTATCTCTATTTCCACTGCTCTAAAATTTCCGATGGTCTCTATCAAGATTAACAAAAGTAATTTTCAACAATCCTGCTAGACAAACAGTTCAGAAACGACTCTCCTTGCGAAAGGCATTGCAGCCTGTGGACTGTCCTGCTGGCAGCGCACACAATGGTGCTGTTGGGCTGCTTGCCCACCCTCCGGTGTCACAGAGACTGAAGAGCAGCGGCTTCACTGGCCCCTGGGCCTGGGTCCATCCCTGAAGCTTTAAGTCAGCAGCAGCTTTGCTCCTCATCAGCTAGTTTGTGATCTGCTGGGTTCTGCACCCAAATTACAGGAATCTAAGTTCTCTGACCCCCAAACACAGAAATGATTAGATGAGGGGTGTATTTACAATGTGGTTTTAAAAAACAGTGACAGGAAGTACTCGTGTGTGGCTGATATGCTAATAGGTCTACCTATAGGCTGCAGTGCTCTGGCTAGTTGGCTGACTTTTGCCAGGGCTTCCTTGGCTGAGTCTAAACTGCCCAAAGGAATTTTAATTCCTATAGCTTACAGCCCATTAGGAAAGTGATCTTTGATTGAACTTGTAAAGTTAAACAAGAAAATTAAATGTCAAATCATTCTTGGAAAAAAAAAAGGCTAGAATTAGAAATGGAATTCTAAGAATGAAAGCAAAAAAACAAAAACCTACCAACTCTATACACTATTAATATTCTCTTTTTAATTAACTATACTTTATTACTCCCTTAATATTATTCTAACCTGTAGGAGATTTTGTTGCTAAATAACTTTTTATTCTTCTGATTTCTTTTTCTTGGGAAGAGGAGTAGAAATATAATTTAGATTGTTAATTTCAATCTCCATAATTTGGAATCAGAAAATTAGTGTACAATGGCATTGGACTAAGAAAACAAACGCTTTTACATTTGTAGTACAAGATAAAATTCCTTTTCTCTGTGTAGTCATTAACTATATGCCTCTATTGCAAAGAATCTGCTCTCAAATATTTCATTCAATTTGACTCTATGTAATTATTCAAACTATTTTAAAATAAACTTTTTGTGATTTGTTATAATCATCAGGATCTAAAGTCAAAAGAAAAAGAATGCCATTTGCCTATGTAATACTGATTATTATTCTGATTTCTTGTAGCTGCCAAAAATATGGATAAGTTTGTGGAGTTGAATTCTAGAGCATGTAGTTAGTTTAAATTGGCTTTTGGGTTAAAATAAAATATATTATTATAAAAAATATATGCTTTCCACATGAAGAACAGAAACAATCATTTAGTTTGTTTTATTTCAAATTCAGCTACAACATGTTAGAATTTCAATCAAGCAGAGTGTGTAACCCTTCTTTCTTCCCTCCAAAAATCCATCTTATCCACACTGAAATTATCTGACAAAACCCTAGGGCTACTGGGAAATCTACTTTGAAAGAGATCAAATTGTAAATCTAGGTGCACCGACAACAACATTGTTCAGCAGTGAACAAAATGTTAAAAACGGCAATCCCTAAGGGGGCCGGTTCTGGGACAAGCCTGGGTGAGAATGTAATTTTGGCTGGTAAGGAGATGGAAGGTTCGGCTACACCCCTTAAAAAACAAAACCAAAGAGAAACCTCGGCACCCCTTAAGCAGCAGTTCACAGGAGGAGGCAGGTGTCTGCCCAGGAGGAAGCTGCCCGTCCACCCTCCATCAAGAGAAGGCGGGAGTGAGGAGCTTGAGGTGCAGAAACTGACTAAGGGAGCATGACGTACTTATACTGGGGTGGGTAAGAGGAGAGATGACTTGAGGTTTGTGTTTTCAGTTTTAACTGACACATTTAATTAAGCAAATTCAACTTTATTATGTTATCAAAATGAAGAAAGTGCTCGTTCCCTTGAAATGTGAATCTCTCATACCTTTGCTTGAAATCTGATTAATAATATTTAGTGCAGAGCTTCCTCCTGGGGAAGTTGTTTTCTTATCAGCCCTCTTCTGACACTTTGTTTAAAAAATACATGTAAATAGCTTTCAGATTTTTTTCCTTCTATTATAGGAACTGCTTTGGCAATATCTGAACCAAGGGCACCTGTAAGTCAAAAATTAAATCTTAGCTGACTTAAAATTACTTTAGGCCCTGAAAACCCTTTTATATGCCAAGATGGTTCCCATAGCAGACAGCCCTGTGTTGTTTGTTTTGTGTGAAAGTGAATGATAAAAGATCCATGAAATCGACACAGAAAGCCAGAACAGCAGAAAGAACTGAGGGCTCTCCATCATTGCGGCTTCTACCCTCTGCTGACTTGTGGAACAATGGAAGCTACACATCCAACTGCAGATCTAACACAGCTGTGCATTTCATTAGATGAAGAGCACTAGTGACACAAGTAAATAATTAACTTATTCTGGTCCGCTGACTGTGCTTATGAGACCAGTCATAGCTGACAGATTTTAATACAAGTTAACACAAAGAGACCATAATGAGCTTAGAAGTTAAAACAAAATATTTAGACAGAATTTGATGATCTCGAATCTCAAATTAGACAGATGATTTTTAAAAGTTTGTATTTTACTGAATTCATTAGGGGTGGAAAGCGAGTTCTCAATCTTAGAACCAGAGTTTTCCTTTTCTAACAGCATTTCTCTGTTTCAGAATTATTCAAATCCTTAATTACAGCGGGAAGGTTTCTTTTCTTATTTTCAAATGAAAGATTAAAACTGTTTTGTCCAGGGACAGAGGCATAAAGTCCATTCCAATGTTTAGAAGTGTTAAAAGTTATGGTCATTTTCCCTTAACACCGGTTTAAAATGTAAATGATATGCGGTGTGCTTCAGTGTGTTAACGCACTCCCCTGGATCCTTGAAAAGAGGACGGACTACAAATAAACCATATCTAATGGAAGCTGTTGTGAAACAATTACCAATTCATACCTTAAATGCTTACACAGCATTTCAGATTTTAAGATAAAATTTCATCCCCTGGCTCACGCTGGTGTGCCAACCCCATTGTTTATAGCACAACCTCCTGGCAATAAAATGCAAATACACCAGTTTAACATGCTCAGGAACATTTAATGCACTCACTAGGGCCAAATGGGAATTGGACACAGGCTACAGTACAGAACTTTTAATAAATGCAAGTAAATAAGAAAAAAAAATGTAATCACAGACAGAGCAGAAAGGGACTTCAGATACCACAATTAAAACAATATTATTCCATCACCGTCCAACTTAATTTCAAGTTGTAAAGGGGAAGAATTATAGGGAGTCTAAATCTGACTGCCAATCCACTCGGGAGAGGCAAATCTAAGCTCCACTGTCACAGCTCTCTGTATCATGCCCAGATACTGCTGGCGCCTACACCAATTTATTTCTACTTCCAAGGCTTCACAAAACAACACAGAAATCATTTAAGAATAGGTTTGCTCAGGAAGAGTCCAGTTAATCTCATGTATCATTTAATTGTCTTTAAAAATATTTCTTTTTTCTTTTCTTAAACAGGGTCTTCCTCTGCTACCCAGGCTGGAGTGCAGTGGTACAATCATGACTCACTCAAGTGATCCTTCCACGTCAATCTCCCTATTAGCTGGGACTACAGTTGTGTGCCACCACGTCCCTAGAAGCTGGGACTACAGTTGTGTGCCATTACGTAATTTTTAAAAAGTTATTATTTTTTTTTTGGTAGAGATGAGGTCTCACTATGTTGCCCAGGATGGTCTTGAATTCCTGGACTCAAGTCAAACGGCTGGGATTAGAGGCTTGAGCCACCATGCCTGACTTAAAAAGTATTCCTAATTCTAAACAGCAACAATTTATTCAAAAGTCATTTTTGGCCTTTAAAAAATGCTGGTTTTAGTGTACTGTCTCTGTATAAAGGACTATCTTAAACAGGAAAAGATAAAAGGTAAGAGAGGAAGAAAAGAAAAAATAAAAGAAAGAAAAGAAGAAAAAACTAATGCATTCTATTAACATATAGAGACAGGAAAGCAAATGGCAACTGCAGAAGATAACTGTAATGCCATCTCTAATTCAGGAGATTTTTTTTTATGTGACTTCAATGTGTTGAGACTTGACTAGTAAATTGTTTCAATTTTGTTGGTGGCCAGTTCTCATTTTAATATCACAATCTGCTTTAATTTTTATATGTTTATTTAGCAAGTCTACCTTTTAAGTGTAACCACTTTTGAATTAAATCTACCCCTTTGAGGTTGATATATATTATCACTCTTCCTTTTCTGAGTGAGGAAAGAGAAAAGGCATCATTTCCCTCAACTGCTAAGCATATATTGTGTGACAAGTACGGTGAGAAGGTGAGGAAGTTGAGGTTCAGGGCCTCAACTCCAGATAGGTGGAGGTAGTTTATATCAAGTCATCTGAGTGAATATTAAAACTCTGTAAATATATTGTATATATTTATACAATTCAGCTTGCCACTTTCTAATGCTCTAAATGATGTGGAGCACATCTGGCAGGATAGTCTGCTGAAATAATCCTAATCAAAGTCTAAACTATTCCTTCCACTTTCTGCAGTTACTTAGCCGTTAGACAAGGCTATTTATTCTGCATATTATAGTTTTATACTCTCTACGCTGAATGGTGAAATGTTGCTGTGGTTTTTCTCCATCAGTCACAGTGCAAGAAGAGAGCCATGTTTAGTAAAGGAGTGAACACTCAACCAATGCTCAGTATTAGTGGGGTTTATAAATGTGGGGGAAATGCCATCAGTAAAGAATTCATCACCCCTTGGACTCTCAGACCTATGTAGAGCAGGTAATTGAGGAATTAGGTGACTTTAATTTGACTCAATGCTGTTCAACAGATGTGTTACCTTGGGGGTGCAGGGGAAGCACCATTTTCTGGTAAGCCTTAGTTGTTTGCTCTTTGTACCGGGAATAATTAGCACCTATCTCATGAGGCAATTGTGTTAGAAGAACAGATGAGCTAATGTC